GTCGCTTAGTCATGTCCAACTCTTTGCGACCCCGTGGACTGCAGCACACCAGGCCTCCCTGTCCATCACCAGCTCCCAGAGTTTACCCAAACTCATGTCCATTGAGTCAGTGATGCCATCCAACCATCTCATCCTCTGTCGTCCCCTTTTCCTCCTGCCTTCAATCTTTCCCAGCATCAGAGTCTTTTCAAATGAGTCAGTTCTTCACATCAGGTGGCCGAAAGTATTGGAGTTTCAGCTTCACCATCAGTCCTTCCAATGAATGTTCAGGACTGTTTTGCTTTAGGATGGACTGTTTGGATCTCCTTGTAGACCAAGGGACTCTCAAGAGTTTTCTCCAACACCATAGTTTTATAATATTAAAGTAGTAATTTTATAATATTATTTGAATGCATATACAATTTTGTGTTCAAAGTTCATTCCCTCATTATGTTAAGAATGTCACTGCATTGTCTCCTTAATCAGTCTGGCTATTGGGAGAAGTCTTATGTCAGTCTGGTTTTTGCTGTTGGTCATATGTTCTTCTTCTCTGCGTCGAGTGTTGCCTTTGTTGTCTAATTTCCTTAAATTTACTATAATATGTCTAGGATAAGCTTTTCCTCATCTGTCCTGTTGGCATTCAATGAAATTTTCCTGATATAGGGAAATTTTTTTCCATTATTCTATTCCTTCTCCCAAGTTTAATTTTTTTTTTTTCTGGAACCTCTATTTGGATGTTGACCCATCTACTTAGATCCTTCACTGTTCTTAAATTATATTTTGGTGTCTTATTCTCTTCATCTTTTTCCTAGAAGTGCCCTTTAGTCTTACCTTCCAGCTCATCAGTTTCTCCTTTTGTGTGGATGTTACCATTTATCTTCTTGTGTTATTTATTTCACAATAATGTTTTTAGCTACTGCTTTCCCTTGTTCCCTTTTACCATGAAAAATTCTGTTTCATTTTGTTAAAATCCTCTGTTATTTGTTTTGTTATATTTGTATTTCTCTTACAGTCTTGGTCTGTTTTATCTTTTTTTTTTTCCTATTGATATGAATGGAGGGTTGGAGTTTTTTTTGTTTGTTTTTGGTCGGGGAGGCACTAGATGTACTTCTCAAGGGTCTCCTTAGTTTAGCTAGTAAATTTCCTGCCCTGAGGATATGAGCTATTCTGTATGACACTTAATAGGAAAAGGTTCAAGGCCAGATCATAGTCTTTGATAGGCCCAGAGAGCTCAAGATGCCAGAATATCACAGTTATTCACTTATGTTTGTAATGTTCCCCACCAGGGACCAGCCTAACCCTAAACCCTAACCCAAAACAAGTCTCTGGCGTTCTCACTAAATAAGGTCTTGATACTGTCTCTACTCAGGTCACTGACACTGCCTGTAATAGTGGCCTGACTCTCTTCTAAACACACTGATGCTGTCCTAACTCACTCCCTGTCTCTGGTCATAACTATAGCCTTGATGCTTGCCCCAACAAAGGCCCTGACGATGTCCCTAATAGCCTTAAATACCCCTCACTATCCCCCTAATCTTGTCCCTAACTAAGCCCCTGATGCTGTCCTTAACTAACAACCTGTCTCTTACTAGGGCCCTCAAGTTTTCTCCAACAGAGGCCCAAATACTGTCCCTAACTAAGGCCCTGAGGCTGGCCCTAATTAATGTCCTGACTATGGCTCTGACTAATGCCCTGACGCTCGCACTATTAATTCCCTGACTCTGGCCCTTACTGAGGCCCCGAGGCCCTTCCTAACTAAGGATGCTAACGTCAGACTGTGCAGGTTGTACACTGGGCAACTCCAGGAGATGCTGTCCACCTAGAGCCTGATGAGAACGGCACCTCCCGGAGTGATGTAATCCTGTGGTCCAGCAGGCCTTCTGCCCTCGGGGAGAAGCAGGTTGGAAGGAAGCAGTGACCCTCAGTGGGCTTTGGAGGAGGAAAGTGGAGGAGTGGATGCCTGAGGCCAGACGGTCCCCCACTGTGGTCTTCGACTCCCAGCAGGACATTGACAGCTTCCCATCCCCCCCCCCCCCCACCACCTACCTGACCCCCACCCACCTGACCTCTAGTGAATTCCTGAGCTAGTTCTCTGGTGCTCCTATCACCTATCACCAGATTCCTCAGTAAGGGGACAAGCAGTTATCATGCTGAGGCATCAGTGGATAAGGGCAGGGAGAAAGTTTACCCGCCCACCCCCCACCCCCGCCGGCTTCCTCTTAACTGCTTTCATTCCCAGTCCCCTTCAGCTCCACGCCCCCCTCCCCATACCAGCTCAAAAGGGACTGTCCATCATCCTGTGAGTTTCTCAAGACCGTCTTTTTTTCTAAGTTCCTGGATTTCTGTGTGTGTTCAGGGTTGATTTGTTGGAGGGAGCCAAGAACTACTACTAATTTTTTCACATTGGCAGAGTCCCCAGAGTAAAGTTCTTCACTTTGTTTTTAAAACAACTTTTATTTTTACACTTTGATTTTCTTATTGCAAAAGTAATACGTGTTTATTTCAGATAAGCAAAAATGATATCACTGCTGCCCAACTGAAACTGCTGTCAACATTTTGGTTTGGCGACCTGCCTGTCCTTTTTTCTTCTCTCCCTAATTTTTAACTACTGTTTTTAACCTGCCCTCTGGACTTTGTGTATTTCCCAACAACCTGACATAGTTTGGTACATTTTTAATTTCATGATATTCCATCATCTAGACAAAGCATAATTTACCAGTTGTCTGTTTTTGACCATCTAGATGTTGTCCTACTTCCCTTTATTATGTATTGCTCATTGATCAATACATATTTGTCGACGATATTGTTCACATCCATGATTATTGGTGGTTTTTTTTTTTTTTTTTAGTTTTTTGGTTTAATTTAGATTCCATGTTTAAGTGAGATTATGTAGTATTTGTCTTCTCTGTCTGACTTATTTTCATTTAACATGATGCTCTCAGGGTCCATCCGTGCTGTTGCAAATGGCCAGATTTCCTTCGTTTTATGGCTGAATGATATTCCATTGTGTGTGTGTGTATACCACATTTTAATTATCCATTTATCCATTAATGGACAAGTCTGGGTTATTATAAATAATGCTACAGTGAACATAGGGTGCATATATCTTTTCAAGTTAATGTTTTCACTTTCTTCGGATAAATACCCAGAAGTGAAATTGCTGATCCCGGGGTAGTTCTATTTTTAAATTTTTAAAGAATCTTTGCGCTGTTTTCCATGGGGGCTGCACCAATTTACGTTCCTACCAGCAATGCACAGGGGTGCCCTTTTTGCCACATCCTTGCCAACCCTTGTTATTTATTGTCTTCTTGATCATAGCCATTCTAACAAATGTGAAGTGATATCATTGTGACTTTGATTTGTATTTCCTTGATGATTATGAACGTTGAGCACCTTTTCATGTATCTGTTGGCCATCTGTAGACCTTCTTTGGAAGAATGTCTATTCAGATCCTCTGTCCATTTTTTAATCAGGAGGTGGTTTTTGTTTGTTCATGTTTGGTGTTGAGGTGTATCACTTTGTATATTTTGGGTGTTAACCCTTCATCAAATGTATCACTTGCAGATACCCTCTGCTGTTCAGTAGGCGGACTTAAGTCCACCATTTGCTTTGCTGTGTGCATGCATGTTCCTTTGATGTAGTCCCACTTACTTATTTTTGTTTCTGTTGCCCTTGCTTTTGGTGTCTGATGCAAAAAAATCATTACCAAGATCAGTGTCAAAGTAAAGCCCCTTTGACTTACTGCCTGTTTCCTCTTAGGAGTCCTATGGTTTCACATCAAGATTTAATCCATTTTGAGTTGAGTTTGATTTTTGTGTATGGCATAATAGAGTGGTCCAATTTCATTCCTTTGCACTTAGCTATGTAGTTTTCCCTGTCCTTTCCCCATTGTATATTTCTGGCTTCCTTGTAAATTAGTTGACCGCACATGCATGGGTTTATCTCTGGACTCTGTTCTGTTCCATTGATCCATGTAGCTTCGATTATTTATGTGGCTGCTCTGGGTCTTAGTTGCAGCACGTGGGATCTTTAGTTGCGGTATGTGGGATCTAGTTCCCCAACCTGCGATTGAGCCCAAGTCCCCTTCATTGGGAGTGTGGAGTCTTAGCCACTGGACCACCAAGGGAATCCTTCACGGGTCTTTTTTTATTCCAATGCTATACCATTTTGATTGCTACAGCTTTGTAATATAGTTTGACATCAGGGAGTGTGATGCTTCAAGCCTTGTTCTCCTTTCTCAAAATTGCTTTGACTATTGAGAGTCTTCTGTGGTACCATACATATTTTAAGATTGTTTGTTCTCTCTCTGAAAAATGCCATTGGAATTTTGATAGAGATTGCATTGAAATTTGATAGAGATTGCATTGAATCTGGAGATTGCTTTGGGTTAGGATGGTGCATTTTAACGATGTCGATTCTTTAATCCACGAGCAGAGAATATCTTTCCATTTATTTGCATGGTCTTCCGTTTCTTTCATCCATGTGTCATAGTTTTCACTGTCTTCTGACTGTCTGCAGCTACTCAGGGTTGCCCCCACCCCCTTCAGCTGACTAAAGTGCTGTAGCCTTGGGATAAAAGCTGCTGCCTTCCCTCTGCTGGTGGGGATGCGAGGGCGGCCAGTACTCCCAATCATCCATATACAGTTCCCTAGAAGGAGGCCTCCCTGCCACACGCAGGGCCCCTGCTCCTGCTCCTTGTCTAGGTGACTGCTCACTTGGTGCAGGCTAGTTTCCCTCCCACTTTGCGCAGAACCTCCTCCTCTGTGCTCTTTGGGCTCGGGTCTCCTTAATCCATCTGGTCCCATCTGCACCCTCGCAAAGGGAGCACTTGGTCTTTGATCTTTTGGTTGCTTTTTTAGATCATTGTTTTTATCCTTACGTTTCTTGCTAAGCTAAACCTGGTCAGTAGTAGTCCACAGAGAGCCCGTTTTCTATCCATCTTGCAGAGTTTCCTCTTTCAGCCCTTCTCCCGGCCTCACCAAGAACAAGCAGGCTGATACCCTTCCGTGTTCTCTCTCCAGCCCAGCTCCGTCGCCTGGAAGGCCTGAGGACTATCGGCATCACCACCAATGGCATCAACCTAGCCCGGCTGCTGCCTCAGCTTCAGAAAGCTGGTCTCAGCGCCATCAACATCAGCCTGGACACACTGGTACCAGCCAAGTTTGAGTTCATCGTCCGCAGGAAAGGTGATCAGATGGGGTTCATGGTGGAGGGTGACCCTCCCAGGCCCTCGTAGTGGGGGAGCCGTGGCAAGTGCGAGGGGCCTGGTCTCTCCATCTCCGTGTCTGGGCTTTCGTGAAGCCTAGACGTTTATTCCTCCGTCCTCGCTCTTGCTGCATGTCCCTTTTCTCTGTGGCCACCCCCTTGAGGACATTTTGGGATCAGATGCTAATGAACCATGGTGACCAGCCTTCCCTCTTCCCTGCCCAGCACAGAGCGTGTTCCCAGAACACAGGACGTTCCATTTTAAAACCAAGACAGTCCCTGGCATGCTGGGACAAGTTGTTTACCCTGTAGTGAGGTCTGAGGAAGTGTGCAGCAGCTGGGGGTGGAAGCCGCTGTCCTAGATGCCAGGGACAGGGCCAGTGCTGCCAGGTGGGGGGGTCCCCCAGCACCCAGGGGTGCTCGCTGGGCCCCTCCTGATGTAGCAAGCCTCTTCCTTCACCCCCTGCAGCCAGCACACCCACAGCCACCTCCTGCCAGGCTCCGTCGGGGAGGGGCCGAGCCCTGGGTCTCACTAGATTGGCACCTGCTGTCCATGAGCCCTGGGTTGGGTGGGAGGTTCTGTAGAGGGTTGGATGCCCTTTGATTTGGGGAGGGCGGTATACTACCAAGACTGCTCTGGTGGATCAGAGATGGCTGGGGAGATCCGGCTCTCCTTCCCCTTCTCTGGAAACAGCCTGGAGCTCTCAGCCCCACCTCCTCTCCCTTACCCCCCCACCCCCCAGCTTGTGACTTCCTGTTTATACCCAGCAGTGTGCTGAGGAAACCTGGGACAGTCTTTGCTTCCTGCGAAGGGCCGCTCCAGGCGCAGCAGAGGGACAGACACAGGACACTGCTCTGCCTTATAGACTGTGAGGGGCTGAGAGTGTGATGCCGGGGGACCGCCTTTGCTGGCCGTGTGGTGTCAGTTCAGGCCTGCATAGGGGACGAGAGAACTCTTTCCCATTAGGGCTGTCTCTCCTAGCAGGGGCATACTGGGAGGGCTTCAAGGAGGAGGCATTCCTGCTGGGCCTGGAGGGATGGAGCATTCGAATCAAGGGAGCTCACTCTGATGTGGAGCATCAGTTGAACGTGCAGGGGCTCTGAGGTGGGGAGGTGGAAGGTGTAATTGGGAGCTTTATTCGTACCCACCTACCCCTAACGTCCACCCGCAAACACACACCTCCCCACACCCCCTGCCTCCCTGACTCCTTTCCTGGAATGAAGACTGGAGACAGTGGATCCTAACGTCAGATCCGCCCTCCCACTTGCCCCTCTGTGTCCCCTGCCTCCTTTTGGAGGGAGGGTGCTTTACAGAAGAGGGAACTTCCTAACAACACATTGTGTAAATGCTGCCCACTCTTTCCTTTGCCGTGTCTTCCTGCCGTCTTTTGGAGGGCATGGCAAGTCACTCCAGTATTCTTGCCTGGAGGGTCCCATGGACAGGGCTGCCTGGCGGGCTACAGTCCATGGGGTCGAAAAAGAGCCGGACACGACTGAGCAGCTGAACACAGCTGTCTTACTCCAGAAATGCTATGGGGAAGCCGTGGAGGCCAGCTGGGTGCAGGGGAGGGTCTGTAAGGCACCTGGATGTTTGAATGCATGAGTGAGCTGGGGCAGGAGGAGAAGGCAGACTGGGTCCGCAGTCACTGCATTAACCACAGAGATGGGTGAGACCCCATGCGTGGGACGTGCTCACCAGCCCAGCCCAGCGTCTGGGCCTCCTAGGTGCTTGAGGAGAACGTGAAGAGTGGGTGAATGGATGCACTGGGGAGGAGGAAGCGCTGTGAGGGAGTTGGGGAACCTGCATTCTGAAGGACAAACGCAAGCCCACCCCCACTCCCGCCCCCAGCCCCGGTGGGCACTGTCTGTCTCTCTGCACCTCGCCTTCTTCCTCTTGACCATCAGCGGGCTCATCTAGATCAGGGTCCCCACCCTACAGCCCACCAGCCAAGTCCAGCCCCTGTGCCTACCTTTTTACAGCCTGCGAGCCAGGAATGGATTTTGCTGATAGCATTTGCCATGAATTTAATGATAAGGAACATTCGCCATGAATCCCAATTAAGCGAAATATTGTCCCTGCAAAAAGAACTTCACTCTTCCATTCTATTTGCAGAGCTGTGTTATAAGTCATACTCAATTATTGTCATATTCTGAATTTAGTTAATGAAGCCTTTATGATACATGTCTACACCATACCCTCAATTTGCCTCTTGGCCTACAGAGCCTAAAATATCTACTCTCTGGTCCCCGGATTCTGTGGTCTCTGAGGCTCCTGATGGCTCTGGCACTTCACTGTGGGTGTGGGGTCGGGGGAAGAGGGAGGCGGTGCCTGGACCCTTGCTTCTCTCCCTTCCCACAGGCTTCCACAAGGTCATGGAGGGCATCCACAAGGCCATCGAGCTGGGCTACAGCCCCGTGAAGGTGAGGACTTCCTGGCTCCTCCAAGACAGCCTCCATCCCTGGCCAGAGCAGCTGCAGGGTAGCCCCCACTACCTTTGGCCCAGTTCCTCCAGCCTTGCCCCTGCTCCCCGCAAGAGAGGAGAGAAAACCAGTGACCCCATGGGATCTTCCACCCCCATGGAGAACTGGGGGAGAGCTGCAAGGAATGGGATCCTAGGTGGAGAGCTGAGGCAGGTGCTAGAACCAGCCCTCTCTCTCGGAGAAAGAACACCGCAGGGCTAACCCTCATGGTTCCCTCATTCCCTGACAAGGTGAACTGCGTGGTGATGCGAGGCCTGAACGAGGACGAACTCCTGGACTTCGTGGCCTTGACCGAGGGCCTCCCCCTGGACGTGCGCTTCATCGAGTACATGCCCTTTGACGGTCAGTGGGTGCCACAGGGCAGAGTCGGTGGGGGAAGAGGAGGCCAGGCCTGTCCCCGGAGCCTGGCCAGGGCCTCACTGAGAACACAGCGGGGGCACTGCCAAGGACCCTGGGAAGGGCTGAGTGGGCAGACAAGGTCAGGCCACCCCTGTGGATGCTGCTGACCTTAGACCCTGCTGTGTGTGTAGGAATTTCTCCCGGGACGGTGGGGAGGGGTCTGGCTGGCACCAGGCCCATGGTGGGGACTGGAGGCTTCTCGTGGAGAGCGTAGGTGTGGCTCCATCCCCCCATTTCAGGCTGAGCCTCATGCTCTCCTGGCCCAGAGGCAGAGAGCTGGTTCCTGGGCTGCGGGAGGGTGAACTTAAAGCCCCAGCACCCCCATAGCATGCAACTCAGTGGCTGCTACCCCCAACACAGGCAACAAGTGGAACTTTAAGAAGATGGTCAGCTATAAGGAGATGCTGGACACCCTCCGGCAGCAGTGGCCGGAGCTGGAGAAGCTGCCCGAGGAGGAATCCAGCACAGCCAAGGTTGAGGGCAGGACAGCGGGGCCGGGGCTGGGAAGAGGGTCATGCCACTACCCTAAGACCCTCGGACGGGAGGGCTGGCCGGGGCTGCGCTGGGGGTGGAGTCAGTGATACAGGGCAGTGCTCTTTAAGCAGGAAGTGATTCAGGGCCGTCATAGCGGATTCCCTGCTTCACTGACAGACAGGAAGGCCTGACCTGGGTTAAGGAGCTTGTTGTGGGGCACACCGGAGCTTGTCTGGCCCTCCCACGTGGCTGTCTCTGGCCGTGCTACCCCCAGCTCCCTGAAACTTTAGGAGCCTTCATCTTGGGCAGGCCAGATGTGGGCAGAGAGCTCAGGGTTTCTGTTGTCTGAGGGCCTTGCAGGCTGCTTTCTTCAGGGCTCCCACGGAGAGGAAATGGTGTCAGATCTGATGTCAGGGAGGAAGAGCTGACCCACCCCCATCTTCTCTGCGCCCGCCCACAGGCCTTTAAAATCCCCGGTTTCCGAGGCCAGGTCAGCTTCATCACGTCTATGTCTGAGCATTTCTGTGGGACCTGCAACCGGCTGCGAATCACGGCGGACGGGAACCTCAAGGTGAGTGTCTCCTCCCCCGCGAGACCCCTGCCCCTCTGTGCTCTGTATGTGCCTTCCCAGCGGCGCCCCCTGATTGGAGGAGGCTCACAGGGTACACGGGGGTGATGGTGAAATAGTGTCAGGTTTAGGGGGATCATGGGAGCAGCAGATGGAGGTGAACTTGTGGCTCCCGCGGAACTGCCTCCCTGGTTCTGTCGTTACTTGGGTCCTCGAAGTAGCTTCTGCTTGATCAGGAGCCCCTCTCCAAGACTCAGTGCTATGGAAGGCAGGGGGCCAGGCCGGGATCAATGTGCCTTTTACCCCCAGCTCCCGCCCCAGTTGCCCTTCCCACCAGGCCAGCGGCTCGTCCCTGAAACCATCTGTTCTTCATATCTAATCAGCACATGCTGAGCTGTGTTTGGCGCTGGGCATAGGGGGTGGAAGGGAGGCGCAGACAGGCCCATTTTCTATGGGCACAAAGGCTCCTTCTGAGACCAAGGAGCTAAGGGTGGTAGCATGTGATTCTTTGTCAAATGAGCAGCTGGACAGGCCTCAACAGGCCTCCCTCCAGGTGCGGGGGAGGAGGCATGTCTGAGGTTCACCCCAATTTGGGCCAGGGCAGGTTTCGGTCGGTGGAGGGCTTGAGCGCCCCCTTCAAAGGTACAGAGAATGACCTGTTGGCAGTAGGATGCTGTGCAGAGTTTCTGTACAAGGTGGAGGTCGGATGCCCCATTCGTATTTTAGGAAGAATCACTCCCAGCTTGAATTTGGAAATAGAAAGACAGTTAGATGGCCATTTAGTGATGTTCCAAACATGTAAGAGTTGAAGTGAAGGTGGGAAGGAAGAGAGAAAGAATCTGGAGATGCAGGTGGGGGTGGAGAGAGGGACGCCTGGATGTCTGGGGGGCTCTGGGACCTGCCTGGGGTTGGGGGCAGGGGTATTGGTGGGCGGGTTTAGACCATCAAGATAGGCATCAGAACGGAGCTGTGCAGCAGACTGTCATAAAGCCAGGGGCTGGATTCCCTGGTGGTCCAGTGGTTAGGACTCCACACTTTTACTGCAGGGTTGAGGGTTCAGTCCTGGTTGGGGAACTGGATTGGGGGCGGAAGGGAAGTGCAGACAGACCCATAAACTCCTACATACTGCATGGCATGGCTCAGCCAAAAAAAAAAAAAATCAAAACCAAAGGCTTATCTGGGCTGGAGGCATAGGACTGACTGGGCTGTAGATGAGAAATGATGACTGTGTCAGCCTCCGGCCCAGCCCCAGCCCCAGCCCTGGCCCCGCCCCAGGAAGTGGAGTGAGGATTTTGAGCAGAAAGTGAAGAATAGGCTGTTTATGGTGCAGGGTTCCAGGGGCCTGTTAAGGGGTGTTGAGGCACTGGATGAGCCTCAGCAAACTGCTGTCCCACCCTAGGGAGGAAGGGGCCCAGGCGGAGATGGTGTCCCTGGGAGAGCTGGAGCCTGGCGGAGTGGCGGCCTGGCCCGGGCTGTGGATGGAAGTTCCACTGCCGAAGTGCGAGGCCTCTCTCTCCTCTCTCCTTCTGACCTCCGAACAGCCAACCCCCCAGGCAGAAGGCAGCTGGAGGGGCCCCCCCGGCTGCAGAGAAGGGCAGAGAGTGGAGCCTCGGGGCTGCTGGGGAGCGAGGAGGGCACCAGCCCGCACGGGGAGGTGGCTGTGCCTTCCGCTGAGCGCTCGTTCACATCCCCTCCGACCATCTCAGTCTGTCAAAGATGCTTCGGTGCCTGTGTCCAGAGCGCCGTGTACAGAGCTGACACTTAGTAGGGGCTTTATGTGGCTTCGTGGGAGGCAGTAGGCATCTCGCTTGTGGGACCGCCCCATCGCCCCCTGAGCAGGGGCGCTCAGAAGCAGGGGAGTGTTGAATCAAGTTTGACCCCAGGATGCCCTCTCCACCAGCAGGATGCCCTCTCCACCAGCCCTCTGCTGTTCATCCGCCAGTCAGGGCCCACAGACAGAGTCAGGGCAGGCGGGCAGGGTCCAGGAGCGAAGGGACGGGGAGAGGATGGAGGGGAGGCGGGCAGGGTCCAGGAGCGAAGGGACGGGGAGAGGATGGAGGGGAAACGGTCTGTGCCTGCTGGTCTCCCAGGAGACCATTCGGACGTGGCTCCCCCTCTCTGGGATCTGTTCTTCTGGCAGCAAAGAGGCCACTCCATGGAATGTCTCAGGAGAAGGTATGCATCTAGATTTTGATGCACTGTCTCTGTTGGCAATTATTAATTTTTTAAAGCACACTATGCGCTGAAAGAAGCGTGACTGGAAGTCAGACACAGGCCTTGTCTGGTTTTGCTCCCTGCCCTTGCAGCCCCTCTGACTGCTCCATCTAGCACCTTCGGCCTCTCATTGCAGGAAATCTTGCTTTGAGTCTGACCAGCCATGGAAGGCCCTCCTGCTCAGCCCAGGGCGGGGTACTCCTCTAAGGATGGGGGCCGGGGCTCAGGATCCAGAGGGTGCGTTGGCCTCACCCACCATGTGACCCTCTCCAGGTCTGCCTCTTCGGGAACTCAGAGGTGTCTCTTCGGGACCACCTGCGGGCAGGGGCCTCCGAGGAGGAGCTGCTGAGGGTCATCGGGGCTGCGGTGGGCAGAAAGAAGCGGCAGCACGCAGGTAGGGTGCAGGGAGGCCGGGCTGGGTGGCGAGTGGGCTGTCGGCAGCAGGAGGGAGGTCTGTAGTTCTGGGGCAGGAGGATGAGTGGCAGCCTGGGGACCCCGTGTGGTCTGTGCTCTCCATCATTCCTGTTGGACCTCTTGACTTGGGGTGTGGTGATGCTTCTTGGCCCAGCAGAGCCTGTGCAAGACAGGGGACCCCAGATGCTCTGGGGCCATTTTCATCGGGTGGGGGGAAAAGAGGGGTGCCATTGCCTCTCTGTCATCCCACACATTGTCTTCTACCAAGGCAGGATCCTGGCACCCAGATTGTGTTCTGGGCTCTGTCATGGGCCCTCGCAGTGTCCTGCGGGGGTCTTTGTTGGGGTGCATGTAGGTGAGCATGTGTGCCCGCGGCTGTCACACCACTGTGTCCATCATACGTTTAGTGAACTTTCTCCCCTGCCCTCTTTCTCCCCCTGTCCCTACTCTCCTCTCCTACCCTCCCCTCACTCCAGGCATGTTCAATATCTCCCAGATGAAGAACCGGCCCATGATCCTCATCGGTGGGTGACCCATCAGTACGTAACCACGCACCCTTGTCATTGGGGGTCCCCTGGGGCAGGGCCCCTGCCATAAGGCAACCCCCTCCCCAGATCCTGCACTTCATCCTGAGGTTCTCATCCTTCATCTTTTCCTGCCCCTTCCAGCCTTTACTGCTTCTTTCCTTCCCTTCCACGGCTCCCCCTCACTACACGTCCACAGAAGTCGTCATTCTGTCTCACAAGAGATCAGGCTGGGAGTGAAGGGGCTCTAAAGTTTATGATCGCTGCGTTAGTTGTCCCCTGAGAGTGGAGCTTCTGGTTAAGACAGAGACCTGTCCTCGGCTCTGGATCTCCCAGGTCGGATGCAGTCATTTTCCCTTCCCTTCTGCCCTGTGGACCAGGCCATGAGTGTGTGGACCATCAGTGCCATTGGTCCACGTGTTGTTATGTCTCTGTGCCGAGCAGCGCTTTGGCAGCTAAGCAAGCGTATTGCTCAGCTTTCCATGGAGGAACACAGCCAGGATCGCAACTACCTAATTCCAGAACTCCTGGGAACTTATGTATGTGCCCAGGGTGTCTCTAGGAGAAGGAAATGGCAACCCACTCCACTCTTCTTGCCTAGAGAATCCTGTGGACAGAGGAGCCTGGTGGGCTCCTGTCCATAGGGTTGCATACAGTCGGACATGACTGAAGCGGCTTAGCATGCATGCATGCATTGGAGAAGGAAATGACAACCCACTCCAGTATCTTTGCCTGGAGAATCCCAGGGATGGAGGAGCCTGGTGGGCTGCCGTCTGTGGGGTTGCACAGAGTCGGACACGACTGAAGAGACTTAGCAGCAGCAGCAGGGTGTCTCTCCTGTGCATCGGATGCTTCAAGCAGAAGCATCTTGTTATTGAGCTGCATATGGGCTCCAACCCTGGGGACCTGGCCGCTCCACGAGGAGCTTTAGGGATGCTGTCACCCCACTGGCACATGCCCAGGCTAGAGCAGAGGAGGCCTCACCCCCTTGGCCACAGGCAGATCTAGGCCCCTGAATCATGCCCTAAGCAAGAGAAGGCAGAGAGAACAGCCAGGGGCAGGGGTTCTTTTCTTCAGCGCTTGGAGCAGAGCCAGCAAGTGCCCTGAGGCAGCCCAGGGACCACACCAGCCTCCCGCACCACAGCATGCCATTGAGAGGAAAGCTGTGTCACCTGTCTTCTGCCCTCACCGCCACATCCTCCTCCTCCTGTATTGGGCCTTGACCCAGGCTGACACATCTTGATGGCAGAGAGTGGGGGATGCCTGGATAACCACCCCCGCCCTCCCACCGAGGGAGGTTGTATCTGTGACACTGACAAGTTAGGGGACCCAGAGCATGTTGGAAGGCTGGGAGTTGGGAGACCTGATTGATTCACAAGGAAGTAAGGTTACTGTCAAGGATATAGAGTAACTAAAGTGGTCTCATTTTGCATAAAACTGAGAGTTGTCCAGAACAGGGCCTCTCGACTTTCACACGCATTTGAATCCCGTAGGGATCTTGTTATTTCAGACTTGGATTTGAGAGGTCTAGGCTGTGTCTCTAACAGTTCTCAGATGGTGCTGGTCCCTGGACCACCCTTTGAGTAACAAGGTCCCCGAGGCCCCTGGGACCGTGTGAATCAGCCTGTTGCTTCGTGTGCACTTCTGATGTGCTTGAGATGTCATTGAAACAGATTAATTATTTCCCTTAGAATCTTGTCTGCAAAGCAGATATTAGCCCTTCCTGGAAAACTTGAACATGAGAGTAACTAATTGGTAATTCATGCTGAGGCCTGGCTATAGTTTTAAGAAAATGAAGGGACAGAGTGGTCATGTGATCAAGACTTCAGTCTTCAGACCTTGCATGGTGGCACCGGATGGGAGCACCCCTACCCTCCACTGCAGGACGGGTAGAGACCCTGGGACCTTTGCTGTCTGTACCTCCTGGTGAGGAAGCCTGCATACTTATATTCTGGGGACACCTTCTCTGTGGATCTTGTTTTCTGTCTTCTCACTGTGCTCTTTGCCCTTCATTCCACGTTCCCTAACATGAATGGGGAAACGGGGTGGGGCGGGGAGGAGGTGGTTTTGCCAAAGACCCTTTTGGACCGAGTCTCCTCTTCTGTCTTCATTCTAGAGTTATTTTTGATGCACCAAGATTCCCCACCAGCCCTTCAAAGCACTTTCAGGAACTCTCTCGGTGTTCAGGTTCTGAGACGCAGAGTGAATTTCTCCAGCCAGATGGTGACTTTATGGAAAGGAGGCGGGGTCCCCCAGGCCCCTCTTGTTGCCCACCAGTGGCTGGGGGCCAGCCTCCCTCAGAGACACTTCAGTTCCCACCTGGACTCAGATGCCAACCCAAAGTGCCTTAGCCCAACAGAGCCTCGGGCTCCTGCTGCTGCCTCAGGACCTCTGCCAGCCTCTGACCAACTGACCCACGTGGACACAGAAGGACGGATGGCTATGGTGGACGTGGGCAGGAAGCCAGACACAGAGCGGGTGGCCGTGGCCTCGGCCGTGGTCCTCCTGGGGCCCGTTGCCTTCAAGCTCATCCAGGAGAACCAGCTCAAGAAGGGAGATGCCCTGGCGGTGGCCCAGCTGGCAGGCATCCAGGCGGCCAAGCTGACCAGCCAGCTGATCCCTCTCTGCCACCCCGTGGCCCTGAGCCACGTCCAGGTGCGGCTGGAGCTGGACCACGTGCGCCACGCCGTGGTGATCCAGGCATCTTGCCGGGCCCGGGGCCCCACCGGGGTGGAGATGGAGGCCCTGACCTCCGCTGCTGTGGCCGCCCTTACTCTGTATGACATGTGCAAGGCCATCAGCAGGGACATCGTGTTGGCAGAGATCAAGCTCGTTAGCAAGACCGGGGGTCAGCGAGGGGACTTCCACCGAACATAGAGCTCCTGCCCCCGCTCTCACCCCCAGGCCGGCAAGGTCAAGCAATGGGATGTGATTTCAACCCAAGGGAAAGAGGTCAAGTTCCTTTCACCAGTTACCTTCAGCCAGTAGGAACCTGAAGCCAGCCCACCCCTTCACTGCTAGATGACCTTCACTGACCTTCAGGGTTTCCTGTCTTCCAAGAGGAAACCAGCAGGCCCTTCAGCCTTCCTGAACCCTAAGGTTGTGCCTGGGAGGGTTATCTAACCTTGCTAGATAATCACAGTGTGACTTGTGAACTCTTGGAGACAATCCGTCGAGCCCATGACCTCTACTTCTCGAGTGGGTTTTCTCTTCTCCTCCTTTTCCCGGGAGGAACAAGGGCTCATAAGCAGAGGAACCCGCTCTGAGGAAGGGAGCGCGGCTTGCCCTGGGAATGGATCACTTAACTGCAGCCCTGGCCTCTCTGCTGTGCTCCGTTGAAAAAGCAGGTTATCCCCCTCCCGTTGCCTCAGTCTGTCTCATCAGACAGGCTTCCAGCTTATCAGCTGCACCGTCCTGCAGCTTCTTGCCTTGGGCCCTCCTCCTCCTGAGCAGTATCCCCCATGGGCCACAGCCCCGAGGCCTCCTGACCGAGCACACCTCCTATACGCCTTCATCCTGGGACACACCAGGCGGGGAAGAGCAGTGGAACTTGACTTCACCCTCACCACGCACAAAATAAAGCCATAATTCCAGCTTTAGAGATGTGGGAGTGAGGACTGTCTGTGCCGAGGGCACGGAGCTGTGATGTCAGGTCTCCCCAGCGGCCCAAAGCCCTGCCCCCTGGGGGAAGAGATGCAGCAGAGATGCTGGAAAAGCCAAGGGGCATGCTCTCCGCGTGCCCCCGCCTTCCCTGGGGGAGAAGGGAGGCACGGAGCGGAAGGCATGGAGATGCAGCGTCTCCCATAGCACCGTCAGCTGGGGGCATCCGAAGCGCCTTCTGTCACCGATAGAGGTCGGGGGTGCAGTTAGAGACTCCTGGTTTTCACATCCCCCCCAAAACACGCTCGCTGGGCTCTCTCGACGTGGGTAGGTTCCTCTGGTTCTCATCTTAGTGTGACCCGCCCTCTTACCCCACTTTACCTGCCTCCCGTCTACACTACACCCAGGTCTGCTGGTAAACCATTAACAGCCACCCAGCTCTTAGACCGTGGGGACTGGCCTTTTCTTTTCCAAGTCCTCCCACCTTGGCTGATTTCAAGGTACTGTACGGTGTGAGCCGGCTTGCGGAATCTCTGAGTCTGGAGCAGTCGGTGCTCCTAGCGCTGGTAGGATCTGGTCCCAGCACCCCACGGGCTCTGCCCCCTCCCCAGCAGCCTCACACCCCCACCTGGGAAGGGGGCACAGGTTTCAAGGCAGGCTAGGTGAGGGTGGTACGGATTTAATATTTTTTAGTATTACAATATATTCTTATAAAAAAAAGGTGCAGGCGAAAAGGACACTGCAGATTTTGTACACTAGCCTCATCTGTCGTCTGAAAGAGCTGGTGAGAACAGCCTTGGTGTGGAGGTGGTAGAGGTGGGGGAGATGGTCATGCTCCCCCCACCCCACCAGTGGGTGCAAAGTGGGAGGGTGAAGCCTGGATCAGACCCTTCCCCATCCACCTGGAGAATTTTCTCCTCCTGCCGTCCTAAACACACCCTACTTCCATCTCTGAGAGGAGGGGGTGGGCGGTGGGTGCTGCTGCTGAGAAAAGGACAGGTTGCATCAGGTTAATTGGAATTTTACACTGGACACAAAATAAGACAGCTAAAGAAATTAACCTATAGGTGGCAGGTGGTGGGGGGGGCGGGAAGGGCATGGAGGAATGACCAAGGAACAAATATAACAGGCGTAAACACGTAGTGCATCGAGGACCAACTCGGCCGTCTCTAAGGCACCTGCCCTTCTTGCTGAGTCGGCCATGATGGTCCACGGTCCAAGGCACTGTTGGCCATCTATCTGGCTACAGCAGCGTCTGGTGTCAGAGCCACTGGCCAGATCTAGAAAATAATAAATAGAGAAGGCAAAACCTTTAGAAGTGAGACGCCTGAGCCCTGGAACAATATATGTGTCCTCTGTAAACAGTTAAACCAAACTGTGCTTTTTCTGTGATTCCCAACGTGTCTTGCCAAACGCTTCCATTATCCCTTCTTTTCCTGGTGCGTATCTAGTCTTCCATGGTGGGTGGGAACGCTGGGATCTGGACGGGCCTGCTGCATAGAAGCGGAGGCCTTCCTGCCCCCATGGGTGAGGCAGACTCCGGCCTGGCCAGGCTCAGGGAGGGCCTTAAGAGGCCCCCACCACAACCTTCCCATCACCCCAGCACCAGCTTCTTAACTGGGGGCTTGTGGGTACATTGCTCTGTGGCCAGTCTTCCTGGAGGCCTTCCCCTGGCCCTCACATGGACTCCAGTGGCCTTTTCACACCTGTCCCCGTCACACTCACACTTACTCCAGTCCCTCCCCCTCAAACCAACACGTGCTGGGCTCACCAACCCTGTGTTTCTCCCCCACCCCGCAGCTACTCTGGTTCCACCGCCAGAAAAGGCAGCTGAAGAGTGGGCCCCAGCCCACCAGTCTGTCCACTGGCAATAACCCTGAGCTGGAGGAGGTCGGAGGTGAGACTCAGAAGGGGAAGGGCAGGGAGCCTGTTGACTGGGGAGGTGGGGGGGGAGGATCAGGAAGGTCTCCGACACTGAGGATGAGGGGTTAATTCTAGGAGATAGGAAATGTATTAAAAGTATGAACCTTGCTCGAGTTGGGCTTACGCTCCGTCCTCTTATGAGAGAAAACTATAGATACCAGTCATCATCCTGCCCCACGAGGACAGTTCTAGATGGACAGAATGAAGGTGAGTGTGGACAGGAGAACCAAAATGGGCCCCCTGGAAGTCAGGTGGACCAAATAGGCACCAGAGATGGGCGAGTGGGGCCCCCACAGCTTTCCACCATTGGCTCCACTGGGCAGTGTACTCGCCGGCTTCTCCTGCCTTGTTCTGCTGTGCCCTAGGTCTGAATGCCGCTGATGGGGGTGGGGGGGCTCTACCCCCTTAGAGGTGGCAGAGGGGTAGCTCTTGCCCTTGGGACCCTCTCAAGAACCGATGCCCTAGGACCAGCCTCAGCCAGATACAGGCAGTTTAAAGCAGTCCCATGCAGGCTGAACAGAGCAGGAGCTCACTGCAGATGTTAAGAGAAGCGCAGGCTCTGAGTGACGTTGGTGACCCAGGAGCTCTAGGGTGAACCTAGCCGTTCAAACGCTGGCCTCTGGAACCCCCAGCCAACCTGTGAGGTCACTGTCTCCAAGACAACCGTCAGGGTGTACCAGGTCGGGGTGGGAAAGGAGAGCTCTGTTCCAGGATCCCTGTGCCCAGCATCCAAGGTGTGGTGATGAATGGGGTCTTTCGTGAACCCTTACCAGATCCATCAAATACCTGATAGTGAGCTATGGTCATGGGAACCCAAAGGTGAGTTTTGAAATTCTGGATTAGTAGACTGGAGATGGCACGAAGGAAGGAAAAGAGACTTATGACATGTCAGAGAAGACCAGCGGACTTGTGATCTAGGAAATGGGCACTGCCACCCTGTCGTGATGACTTGGTCCCCGCAGCATCCTCCCAGCACTATTTTTTTTTCCGGAACACATAGCTGGCATCTCTAATGCCTCTTCCATTTAATAGGATACTTCACCCCAGATCAATGTTCCATTAACCCTACTCTTGAGAGCTGGGGGCCTGGGTGCCCCCAGCCCACTGTTAACTCCCCACGGCATGGGAAATCTGGACATGGTCTGTGGACCTCTCTCCAGTCTAGATCAGGAACAGCTCTGTGCCCACACACAGGTGCCCATGCTGAAGGGTGGGAAACAGGGCCCCTTCAGCTGGGGCTGGCCAGGGATGTCCAAGTCAGCCTCAGGAGAGTGACCCCTGGGGCTAGGGTGCAGGAAGAATAATGGGAAGTGGAGATGAGGGGAACCCCTTCAGGTGGGGAGACACTGGGGTCCTGCCACACATAGCCCTGCCCCCAGGACCCAGCCCAGGGCTCTAAGCCCAGCACCAAGTCATGTAAGTATCATTCTCGCCACCTCCTCCACTCGCCCCCTCGGGGTGGGGGGCCCATCCCTGTCTCCCAGTCTCCCGCTGCTGGTCAGTCCTCAGGTCAATAATTTAGCCTGTTTATCGCCCGCTCCCGGGTGGCTTCCAGGGCCTGGCTCCCTGATCGCTTGCGGCTGCGTTTGAGTTTGCACAAGTCCTTGTCGAAAACTTCTCCGGAGCGCAGGGCCGACACCAGGTCGTCAAACTCGCCGCCTTCCTCCAGCGCGCCGCCCGCGTGCACCTTCCGCTGCCGCTGCCACCGCTCACGTTCCCGCTGCTCCTTCAGCTGGGGGGGTGGTGGGGAGGGGGAGGCGAGGAGGAAGATGAGGGGCTGGCAGTCACGGGGTGACAGACGCCTGGGCTGCGTCCGCCCCCAGGGCGCCCCGAGCCTCCCGCTCCCAGTACGCGCGCCCCCGCGCCCGGCTCAGCCCGCTCTCGCGCTGGCACCCTTACCATGGCCTCCATGCGCGCCCTCCGCTCCTCCTCCTCTTTCCTCCTGCGCATGGCCTCCAGGTCCTGCCGGGCCTCCGAGAAGGCCTGCAGGAAGGTGTCAAAGATGCCAAAGAACTCGTCCGGCTGCATCTTGCTTTCCTGCTCCCCAAAGTGCGTCAGGGCCTTGGAGAACTGTTGGGAGAGAAGGGTTGATGGAGAGTCCCCCGCCTGAGCCCAGTGGGCAGGTGGGTTCCAGCCACAGTGGAGCTCGTCCAAGTGGAGGACCTTGGGCTTGGAGGATGGGAGTAGGAGCAGAGAGGGGAGACCCCCATTGTTATCAGGGGTTAAGGGCAAGGCTGAAGGGAAGGCTTAACACCTGCCAGAGGTGAGGGACCCAAGCCACCTCTGGGTCTGTTAGGGTGTAGATACAGGACCAGGAGTTACAGAGTTAGGGAGGCACATCCACAGGCCAGGAC